TCACGTGTTTCCCACTCACGAGACACTTGACAGCCGTTTTATTTTCTCATTATCTCTTTTACTGCTAACGTTATCTTTAATCAAAACTTTAGTCTCTACAGTAACTGATTGTCCACTACCCGGATATTCACATTATTCTGAGAGGGTTTGACTTGAGTCGTTAGTCTCCCTCAACTCCACTGTTACATGTTATGTTTGATACTATTTTTCGACTGCCCAGTTATTAACTATATTATTAGCGCTTTGTTTGATAATTTAGTTTATCCATTACTCGACTATTCACTACACTGTTAGTGTGACTCTCTCTCTTTCCATTATCCGATTATTCACTACACTGTTAGTATGACTCCCTCTCTCTCCATTACTCGACTATTCACTACACTGTTAGTGTGAATCTCTCCATTATCTGATTATTCACTACACTGTTAGTGTGACACTCTCTCTCCATTATCTGATTATTCCCTACGCTGTTAGTGTGACTCTCTTTCTCCATTATCCGATTATTAACTACACTGTTAGTGTGACACTCTCTCTCCATTATCTGATTATTCCCTACGCTGTTAGTGTGACTCTCTTTCTCCATTATCTGATTATTCACTACGCTGTTAGTGTGACTCTCTTTCTCCATTATCCGATTATTCACTACACTGTTAGTGTGACACTCTCTCTCCAGTATCCGAATATTCACTACACTGTGAGTGTGATGTTTAAGACTCTTTCCACAACCCGATTATTATCTATGATGTTTATACTGACACTGGAATTTTAATCTCCTCGTCAATCAATTATCTATAACACTGTTGGGTTAGAATTGAGATGGTAATCTCTTCACTGCCCGATTATTCACTATAATGTGAGTGTAATATTTAAGACGACTTTTCATCCTGCTACCAGACTGTCGATTCCTAACCTGCTAACGTAGTTTTTATTATATTAATTGTTCTAATACCTGATTATTCATTATACCGTCATATTATGTTTATGCTATCAGTCACTTTACTACCCAATTGTGTATCAATTGTTAGCAGTATGATTGACACGTCAGTCCGCCCATTAATAAATAAAATGCAATAATCTCACTAAGGTTGTCGTATAGAAATATAACCGAATAATAATAGTTTTTCCATTTGGTTATTCCTGACGTTAGTTGTTTGTATCCCGCCAATATAAAAATTACTGTACAAACCAACAAACACATTTAACAACCAGCACGTGCGGTTTGAAAGCACCAAGCCTGCACGTGCGGTTTGCGCCCCGCGGGACCATCTATGGTTTTGTTTTTAGATAAAATGCGGCGCTGTTGATAATATACGGCAACTTGCCAGTGATGTACTTCACGTGTGATCCTCGAAACATCTACTGTCCATAAACCAAGAGATAAGTGATGACCTAAACGTCGACGTAAGCGCCCTCTACACTATAAACATCGTATCAATCCCCAGTATAAGCACAGTTAGAATTTATAAAAAACTGTAAGAGCTTGGATAACGACGATAGATGTCTGTTTATATGTGAAAAGGATATAAAAAAGTGTTTATATTAAACATTCGAACAGTAAACTTGAAAGAAAGTTGTTTTTTTTAAACCATCAAAAGTTACAGGAAGTCACTGCAATTTCTTTTTCTTTTATCACAATAAACTCAAATATTTATGGTTTTATAAATTTTTAATAAATAACTCGTGAAATATATTGTTCAATACAATATATACTTTGTTAACGTCGCTGTCACGTACGATTAACAAATAGAATAGCGTATAAGACGTAGGTGGCGGGCATGTCTGAAAATACAACTTAAGTTATAATTATAATGCCGTATTGTCCAAAATAACTTCCAGTTTTCATACATTTATATATGTATTAGGCAGTTTATGTTATTGATGGTTCCAGAATGATAACTGTTTTAAAATTACAATGGGTGTTAATATTCTATATAATATTCCTTCCAGTTCACATACACGAACCAGTATAACAAAGATAAGTACTTGGACCAGTCTGTAAACTACTAACAACTGAAACACCTGTGCACCACCGATAGCTGTTTTTAGTGTTGCTTCATCTTTTTCCTGGAACATGAATGGAATTAGTGTGCTAGACGGAGAAAGTAGCCGCCTGGGGTAACAAACAGCCGTTCGAGTAGTTAGTTAGTCACACGACTCTCAAGTCACAGTCACCAGACTTGTTCGATCTTGTTGTTTGCTTCCACTCTTTCTCACGAGTCAGTAGCTCGAGTGAAACGTGAGAAGTTAAAAAAAAATCATTTCCTTGCACAGTTCGTTCAGCAACTCCTACGTATGTCGTAGTTGTTTGCTCGTGGTAACTTCCCCGCTCAGTTCTATGTAGTATATTCAGTGGTCTCGTGCCATGTGTTCCAAGAGTTGATTTATTTAACACCCGGTTATATACGTGTATGAAAAATACACTGTGTTCTATCCAACATTTGTTGTATATTATTTCCGACTGTTTCATATAAGGAAAACGTTATTTAAGTTTACGCACTAATTTGCAGCAAATATTTTAATCGCACGGAATATAACAAGTAAAATAATATCAAGTATTAAAGCCAATAACACTTAAAGTCTCTGGCAGAAAAAAAAAGTAGGTTTCCCAGTAATGACTTTAGGTTATTAATTTTTTACAGTATTAGAGTTTATGAGGAAGGAAAACAAGATTTTATAATAATATGTTCACCGCCATTCACTCCTGCCAGATGAGTACGGCATCTAGTTGTCTGTGTTGGTTTGTGATTTTGTCACGCTAGCTGCACTGAAGAGATGATAATGTGCAAATAATAAAGTGTGACGTCTCAAAGATAGAGGACCACTCGACAACGAGCCAGGTGAGCAGGACTAGCGTGAGTGTGTAAACTGATGGTGAATAGTAAAATAATGGAGAATGTTTGAAAGCTTAGACAACTAAGGAATGGATAAGGTTTAGGCTTATTAACAGACAGGCAAGAAATGGATGAGCTAAAAACTTGAAAGTTTACTAAGTAAGATTTCACAGCGGATGTTGTAACTGCAATTCCAATTCTACAAAACAGATTTAATATTCTGTAGCAACTGTTACTAGTGCGGTTACTGACGATCAAGGAAGAACCTTGAATCAGTTGCAAATGCATTCAATTTAAATTTCACTTCACTGAATATATATGGATTATTGGATAACTCGAAAACCGATTAATTTGGTTGATGATCAGTGAAAACAATGTAAACTTCACTTCACTGAATATATATGGATTATCGGATAACTCGAAAACCGATTAATTTGGTTGATGATCAGTGAAAACAATGTAAACTTCACTTCACTGAATATATATGGATTATCGGATAACTCGAAAGCCGATTAATCTAGGTGGAAAACTGTTCATGAGGGCCATAATCGATCTCAGTAACTCCTATCATTTGATTCCTCTTCTAATATAAAATTGGGTTTAATTCAATCCCGTTAAGACACTAACCACACAAGTACTGTTATATATCACCCTGAAACCTACTATAGCCACCAGTTTATCTAACATACTTACTTGGCACAATATCCTACTTCTGAAGAACTGATACTTTCAATACTACCACTTATACAACGTACATGCGGACTTACAACGCTAGAATCTAGGTTTCGATACCCGTGGTGGGCAGAGCACAGATAGCCCATTGTGTAGCTTTGTGCTTAATTACAAACAAACAAGTGAAAGGCTGATAATGCCTAAACATATAGAAAAGCAAATATGTACGAGAAATAGGTAGTTTGAAATGCTTTTCTTTTCTTATTAACTTTGTAAAATTGGTTGTCTATGGAACTGAACCAGTTCGTATCATCAAGGACAAATAATTAATAACGTTATATGAGTAATATATATATATTGACTTTAGTTATTATTAAGAATTAAAAACAAAAAATCAGGTTGATACAAGAAATATCTTTTAACGAGAAAGTTGGTTGAAATAAGCTAACAATCAGTCCAAGTTCTAGCGTCTTAGTTATAAGTCGTATTTAGGTAACGAGGGCTTGACTTTAAAAATAAATTTACATTTGTCCACAGCCACCGCCTAGAATAAACTTTTGTCACATTTTTCGTACACCAAAATCGGTAATGTAATAAGTACAGCACGATGTTCACCAAATAAGGCCAGACAGAGAGTGGTATATAAATCTTCATTATTCTTGAGTCAGTGTTCACGATTTGAACGAAAATGACCTTGGAAATTATATGCACCGTATACTTTATTTCTTTTATTCTCAAATAGTATAGTCTCTCGCATCTGCGGCTGGTTACAATGACGCGTATAGTTTTACGTTTGCTAAGTAGACTGCTATAACAACTTCCTTTCTGTTAACTACTCTCTCTCTCCGAGATAAGGATCTTTTCATGGATTCTCATGAGAATACGATACTATCTTATCTAGTCTAACCAATATTCTTCAATCTGATGACAGTGTTTGTTACCATTTGTGTTTACTATGTCTTAAACACAAACAGTTATCTTAAATAGCCTTGTAGTCCATTTCAAACGTAACAAACAAACAAACTATAAATAAAAAAAAACGTTTATTGACGCTTTACTACCGTTTCTGAACATAATATTTGCCCACAATATCTGTGATCCTCTTTTCTTTCCCTCTTTGTTTGTATGTAAAAACGTTTTTGCCGTAGTTCTCTAACTGTTAAAAGTGAAGAAATCGGAAAGAGAGTTATTTAAAAAGTCGTCAGTAACTCAGTGTTATCTATTATATTAAATCCTTCGTTTATCAAAGCAATTGTGACTTTTTAAACCTGTTTTCATAACTTTATATCACAGCTTTAAATAAAAGGCTCTTACAATTTGTTTCAGCAATAAAAACATCACAACTCAGTATGACTTCGTGTTTGTGAATTCAAACTTCCTACATTTTAAAGAAGAAAAACAACGGAGTTTAAACTCTTGATCCAGGTAGTAGTTAACACACGTAGTTTAAAAGTGGATCAGTGTAGATACTTGTAATATGATTTAAACTTAACTTACCAATGGGAAAATTGAGTTTATACTTTCAGACAGAGGACAGACAGACAGAAAAACAACGACATAACTAAAATTAGTAGTGGATGAAACACATCATATGCAATCATGGTGTCTTAACGCGCACGGTGCAATTATATTATGTATGTTCAATAGGTATGTATTCTCTTGCGCAGACGCCGTAATAAATGACAGCGACAAGTTGCCGCAGGGCGTGCGCTCGAGTCGAGAAGGTAGACAGTGAACGTCATCATATAGGTCACGTGAGATAAAATGGAAGGAGATGGGTTAATGTAAACAGGCTAATGAGTGCTGCCGAATAGACCTGCCAACCTGTAGACCATGGAGTTTTAAGATCCGGTATCGTCGACAGTTTATTTATTTTTTTCTATGGTTATTTTTAGTATTATTTCCATAGCGGAAGATGCCCGAGTTTTCCTTGTCTGAGGCCACAAATAGAAAGACACACATCTTGACATTTCGGTGTTGAGTATGAGCGCCACGAGAAATACAGACATTTTAATTCACCACTAGAGTCCCGTTTTAGTCATTTAGTACAATCACTTGCTTTTTTTTTTTCCTTTTATCAAAGTGATTATCAATGATAAATATGCAAAATAATGTGTGGCACCTGGAAGATTACACGATCATTTCCAGGTATTTTTCAAGTTCGGTTAAATATAAAATATATTGAAAAATTGGAGAGCATGTAAAAGAGATTTTTAGTTTCTTCTTATAGCCCTTGCGTCTCTCGTATGCACCATTTAATACCCACGCCAATTCAAGCGCTTTGACTTTCTTCTAAGCAATAAAAACAGTTAGGTAAAAATTTACATAATCCGATATTTCCGTACCAGGAACTAATAAGTTTCATGACTTCTGAAGCTCTAACCGTTTTGAACATACAACCACTCAAAAAGGAAGTATGAAGTATAATCACACATGTGTGTTCATGAGCAACACGTATGGTGTTTGCTTAATGTTTTTCCAATGCGTAATCATTGGTTTCTTTTACCAGAACGGGTATTATCACAAAAGAAAACCACTGACTAGCCACTTTATCAGGACCTCCACTGTATCACTTTTCACCTGGACTCAACGTGGAACGAATCCACAAGATGTCAGAAAGTGTCTTGTTCAACTGTATCTCATCTATTGAAGAGTAGGATTCAACTGAACTTTGATTTCATAATCAATCAAATCGATATTCAGCGATTGTAATGAAATCACTTTCGTGCTCTTCGAATCAATTTCCATGCCCAATGGGATAAACATTCAACATTGTGGAGTGAGCACAACTTTCAGGTGTACCCTGACAATTATTCGCCCTTCTAAGAGTATAAAAAAAGTCAACTTACAATATGACATAAGTCACTCCACTCTGCTTATGCTCAGCCGTTTAGCCAATGTAGCGTAAATCACTCCCACTTTGTGCCTATCCATTTACCTAATACATATGACGTCATTCATTCCTTCTTTATACTTAACCACTTTTGATAAGACATCAGTCACTCTCACTTTATGCCTAGTCACTTATCATATGACGTCAGTCATTCCCACTCTATGCCTAGCCATTTATAATATGACGTCACTCCACTCCCACTCCATGATTAGCTATTTATCTAATATGTCGTAAGAGTCACTTATTCTATACCATTTACCTAATATGACGTAAATCATTTCGAGTCTATGTCTAGCAGTTTACAAAATCTGATGTCAGTCACTCTACTCCATGCCTAGAAACTTAAAATATGGCATCAGTCACTCTATTTAAGCTGGAGCTCGCTTGGTAAGCTTTGAACAAACAAAAGTAGTTATTTGAGACATTTCTGAGACATCCAGCATATAGCCAGTAAAAGCAGACGCATATGTCAAGGCATTTATTTTTATTTAACACTGACCTCTGTCAACCTTTCTGTACCAAAAAATTCTAAAAGTTCGATACATCAAAGGATGTCAGTAGCTCAAACAAGCAAGCAAAGGAATTTTTCACATATTACGTCAACACAAAAGATCCCCTCTCCTCTTCTTGGCCTTCATCTCCTTTGGTGACAGTGTAAAAATAGTGGGAGAAACGACTTTAACTAACAGAAAGAGAACCGCTTTTTGGTGTTCGTGGTAGACTTGGAGCCCTGTACATCTTTCACCAAATCCCATCAAATATTTCAGTCGTCTTTTTTTCTTGTTGTAAAAAAGAATTCGAATCTCTTAAACATACAGTACATGTTGGTTAAAGATGTTAACTACTGACAGTCATTTACTTTATAATATTTGACTGCAAGTGATTGATGTGTTGGACTTAGCAGTAAAGTAACTTCTTTTAACTTCAGAATATCTCGACGTAGCTTTCGCAACGTCCTCCAGTCGGTAAGCGGTAAGTTTACGGACTTACAACGCTGAAATCTGGGGTTCCAGTCCCCATGGTAGACAGAGTGCAATTAGCCAATTTTGTAGCTTTGCACACTAAGAAAACAATAACAGATTTCCCGACAGAAAAGTGTCAAACTAAATGGAACCGGAAGAAGTTCACTGCAAATAAGAACCGGAAGTAAATCACTATATACAAGATACTGAAAGAGGAAGTAATTAACTATATACTAAATTACAAAACATAAAATAGTCTAACACAAAATATCAAAATAGTAAGCCATTGATTACATGCTAAGAGAAGATGTTAACTACAAAGCAGCAGAATAAGAAATTTGTTTGCATGATAAGTAGTGGAGAAGGACATAGTTCACACTGCAAAACAGATGAAAAGGACCTCAAAACAGCTCAACGGGAGCAACTGATTGTCTGTAAAGGGCTTGATTAGGAAGCAACTGACAACTAAGCGGCAAACACGAACTAGCTTCTGCTAAAGAACAAGAAAGCTTAGCTGCAAGCTTGCAAGACATCGGAATAGGAACTATATATCTACACACACACGCTCGTCCATTACATGTGAAGATGACAGGGATCTCAGGGATTTTGATATACCCGTGAATGGCTAGTAAGCCCAATTCTTGCACGAAACCTTTGTCCGCACTATGCACAGGAGAATTCTGGGCTTAGGGCAACTGACTGTAGATCTTGTTGATGAGACTTGCGAAGGCGCTGATTGATTTCTACATCCCTGATGCGGCAAGATTCAAACCCAGATGTTCCACTGTGAACTAGTTTACTCAACAACTTGAGCTATCAGTTACCAATTGTCATCAATAGAAATAGGGTGTGAAACTATATGACAAGCAGAGAAACAAGTAATAGATTATTGCAAATTGACAAAAGAGGTAGTAATTGAAAAGATAGTGGCGAAACAGAAAGTAGTAGATGGCGCAGTCGCACAAAAAGGAGTTATTTATTTATAGAGGTTGTGATGTAAGCGTAGTTACACACAAAAAAGAAAGAAATAAGTAAAAATACCTGCTGTAACTAGGTTAGTGGTTACTTCTACTACATACCCTATTTACCTGTAGAATTCGTGATATTAGAAGAACATGTAGGTTTAAGAAAACAATTTAACATGATGTCCTACAACTCGAAAGGTGGACCTTTCTTCTTCAAACTGTACTGTTTACCTCTGAAGAAGAAACGTCTAAAAAATGTATTTACAGTTTTGCTTGTCTCGCGATGCAGCTTACTGAGCTGAGATCAGATAAACTTTAGCTTTAGTTTCATCACTGAGTTATTGGTACAAATTAATGGCAATTAACACAGGTGATTTACCCTTAAATCTATTAATCTGTTTACTTTTTTTAAACTTTTTTTCCCATTTTACAATAAAATACTTCCAATCAACAACGTCCATCGATCTGTGTTTGATTATTCTTTTGTCCTTCTACAAATAAGCACAAAGGTACGGTACCCTAAACTCGAGCGATTTCGAAAAAGTGTGTGTTCATATTGAAATGATTTGTATTTTCCTCTGAAATACTGAAAAAAAATCAAAATCAACCTACATAGACTTAACTGGATTTTAGTTTTGTATTGTTGCTAGAAAGTCATATCCCATTGATATCCATGCTGCAGATATTGATATCTTTATAGAAATGAGATAAATATTAACCTGAAGACATTGCTCTAATATAACCGTTTTATAAATAACCGTCTGAAGAAACTGAGTTAAGTTACTTTTTTACTTTTGCACAAACACGCGTGCATATAATATGATTGAAAAATCGACCCTACCCCCCTCTCACAAACATACACACAACAGAAGCTAAGTAAAACATCACGTGGGTTTTCTTTCTTTGTAGTGTGCTTGTCGAAATATACCTAACACCGAAAGAATTATTCGCAAAATCTCAAACAAACAACAAAAAACCATAGCCTCTGTTTAACATAGTGAAAGGGCGTGACATTCAACTTTGAAGAAGTAAGGGCGTCAAGAAAAGGTAGGTATCAAAGAGCATGTGAAGGTACACGATCGAAGATTTCCACAAAACGCTATGAAGCTGAACTAATGCAGAGAGTGTTATTTGGCCAACGCTAAACAATACGACGATTAATCAGGCTAAGACGTATGTGCATTCAGAGCAGTGAACCGCAGCTCATGAATCGCAAATCGTATGCTTCAGCTCGTGGCTGTGCGACTGAGTTTTGAAAGTTACGTGTTCGTTAGAACGTCTTAGGTACTCACAGAGTTTTTGCCCTTGTCTATCAAATAGACTGTATAAAGGAATGCCTTGGATTTGCTGATTTTGAATACATATTTATTTACAGTTTTGTTTTTCTTAATAACTTTGTTTGTTTATGGCAAAAATAATTAGGCTATGCGCAGCCGTCCCTAATTTTTGAACTGCTCAACCAGAGGGAAAGCAATCGGCTGGCAGCACTCACCGCCAACTCTTGGGCTACTCTTTACCAAAGAATAATGGGTTTGACCGTCGCTTTATAACGCTCTCATGGCTGAAAAGGCGATTATGTTCGGAGTTAGGTTCTGATCCCGCAACTAGCAGGTTGCGAGTAGCGTGCCCTAACCTCCAGGCCATGCCAGGCTCTTTCGAACAGGTATTTCATACAAAGGCTTCGATTTTTCGTTTCACATATTTTGATGAATAAATAGAATAGGACAGATAAATTAAAGATAACTTCAGTTAGATAAATATTTTGAAATAGAAATGGAGATATGCATAAGCAAGTAGATA